TGACTTTCTGGGGAAAAAAAAATAATTATCTCCTTCTCTTCGCCTAACAATGGTAAAACTAATGTAGATAGAGTCTGAGTGAAGGAACAAAACCAAGGTGGGGATAGCAGGAGATTGCAGTGTGCTCATTAGCATATGAAGAGCCCAAATGCAAGAAAGGCAGCATGATCTACTGGGCATTTTGGAAGGTATTCAGTTTCAATAAACTGCTGCAGAAGCTTTTTCCTAGGACTGCATATGCCTCCGATCTTCCTTTTGAAGACACTGATACTCCTTCCTTAGTGCATTACTTAGTTCATTCTTGCAGATGAACTCAAATGTACTTGAGAAAAGTCCAAGTCAAAAATTTAAGACTTAGATTGAGTTCCTGACTTGCTACTAGCTGTGTATGCAAGCAAATCACTTTGTTTTAGTCTGTTCTGAAACAAGTACTACAATCAAATGAAGATGTTGCCTCACAGGTTCCTTGAGACACGGATTATTTTTATCAGAGATCCCTGGGTGGTTGGTAAAGTGCCACTATTGACACTACCAAAATAAAGTAATCCTCAGTTGCGGAATATCATGGTTACATTGCAAAGTAGAAAGTCAGCTTCCTTACAAACACTAATTATGTGAGCCTGGCAGCTGATGCTGGTGATGAAATGTCCTGTTTTCTGTGCTTTTAGATATACAGTTCAGCCTATTGTGCGTCTTGAAAGCTTAGAACTAAAATACTGATTTATAGCATTTCTGAATTGCCACTGAAATTTTTAGGAACATATTTAAAGACAGAAAAAACTTCTATTGAACAATATCTGTTACCTTAAATGACATTTCACATGGAGTGAGCTCCTCTTCATTGTAAGAAACACTGAGAATTTGGTCAATACTTGTGTAAAAAAAATATAAATTTTATATGTATTTATATATAAATATATATATGGAGGTGCCTTATGCCAAACCTTAAGTAATTTTTACTTGAAAGATTAAATGTTATAACCCGTATTTCAAGTAGGATTAAATGGAAGCAAACAAAAATCTACCAGGATCTTGTACAGGAGATGTGGTGGAACTGGTCTGTCATTTGCACATCTAGACATGGTATGGATTTGATCTGACTTAAAGGAGCAGCTTCCAGAGTACAGATCTGCAAGGCCTTGGAAAGCATGTGCTTCTCCTGAACACATACACCAAAGAGTTCAAAATAAAATATAGTACAGGTATATTTGAAATTTAATTAAGTAACATTTTCAACCCTTGTTTATAGACACAAAAAAGAACCAGATCTAAAAAACTGTGTTTAAAAGCTTATAGTCAGAAGTAATTAATGTTTAAAGTGGCTGTATAACCATACACAGCCAACCTACATAAGTGCAGGTCCTCAAGAGGTTTGTGATTAGTAGTTAGCCTTACTTCCTGCCTAATATATTGGTACCTTGAGATGTTATAAACACTATGTACTACTAAGAACTGTTCACAGTGTGAAGACTTCATTGCAGTAACTGATTCGTCTAGTTGGAGTTTTAGCACAAAATAGCATGTTTCCACTTTTAGAGGAAGTTGTCTCTGTGCCAAGCTAAATACCAATAACCTCCTATCTCTGCTTCTTACTATTCTTTCCACCTGTAACACTGTCATGACAAACTCCTGCTAAAAAGGACAGGATGTGACATTGCAGATCACAACAGCTCCTTGGTCTGCAAGGAGAATTATTACTTTGTTATGTGAGAAGAATTGCATCTTTCCAGCTAGATTCTGAATGAAGGAATGTAAGAGTAAGGGCTGTACTATTTCTTGTGCTGCCCTGGGTCAGTGAATTTGCGGCTTAATAAAGCACAGGTCATGTGGATCAATGATCACTGGATCAATTTTGCAGGGTCCTACATTTGCCCCTCTGAATGGGTATGACCATTTCAGTCCTTGGGGGTGCCTCAGATGCACTAGGCTGAAGAAAGTGCAAAACTCACCCAAATGCTTCCAGAGCTGCCTTAAAGTGTTTCATCCTAGGAGCCCCCAAGGACTGTTAGTGTGGAGCACTTCTTCTGAAAATTGTGAATCTCTGCACCTCTTCTTTGTATTGAAAATACTTTCTTATCTTGAAGTGCATTGTGTAATGCAAACCTGGATTTTTCTAATCCTGAGGGTTTTCAGCCTGGGTGTCTAGGTTGTCCTGTGGTTATCCACCTTGCTCCTCTTCTCCTGTTTCTTTAACAAGGCTTTAGTTTGTTTCCATTTTGCTAATTCCAGACCCCCTTCTCCTCCCTTTCTTTGCAGGAGTCTCATACCCTCTGTGCAGCCCAGTTCCACAGCTGATGAGGCTTCACCCTCTAGTCCTTGGGTCAATACCATCCCAACTGTTATGGGATAGCACATTCTCAGCTGGTTGTGAAAAGAGTGGGAAAGGAACTAGTCCCAGGGGATAGGGCAGAACAAATCTAAGTATTATGTAGGAATGGCTTTTCCTGAGATGTTACACTAGTTTCTACCTGTAACAAAAAAAAAACCAAAACAACCCCACCAAACCACCAAAAAACCTTTCTTCCTGGCCTGTTCTCCTTTTGGTTTCTTTCTTCCTTCTCTGAGGTTCAGGCTAATTCTCTTCATGGCCTCTTTGAAGCCAATCTACTTAAAAGACAAGGTAATTTTTTTTTTTTTTTTGACCTGGGTGCCAGGCTTGTATAGGTTCAGGAAAAGTCTGATTCTCTCAGGTCTTGTGGATTCACCAGGTATTTAAAATATGAATTCTGTATTTGATTACTGTTTCTGTCAGTTTGCATCCATAATGATGACTATAGACAGGGAGCCTGGAAAAGTCTGGGAGGGAGCATCTCAGGTTTTGTCATCAGTCCTGCTGAACCTCCCCCAAACCAGCTCGTTTCTGTGCTTAGGAGTGCAGGGAGCCATTGCACTGTCAGGTCACGGGGACAAATGTCTGTCAGAAGCAACTTTTACACATAAGAATTGTAAACAGAAAACTTCATTGACAAACTCCTGACACAACCTGACCCTTTGCTTGTTGGAGTTAATAATTAAACTCCTACTTCCTTCAGTGGGACAGTGTGGGCTTTAGATAGATTACATTTAGGTTAGGTATTAAGAAAAATAAATCTTCATTATGAGGGTGGTGAGACACTGACACAGGTTGCCCAGAGAAGTTGTGGTTGCTCCATTCCTGGAAGTGTTTACTGCCAGGTTGATTGTGCCTTTGAGCAACCTGGTCTAGTGGAAGGTCTCCCTGTCCATGGCAGGAGGGGTTGGAACTAGATGATCTTTTAAGGTCCCTTCCAACCAAAGTCATTCTGTGATTTTATGATTCTATGATCTCAATAGTGCTCAAAGAGTACTGAGGTGAGGGTTGATGCATGCCTCACACCTGCAAAACTAGGGTGCTAAAACAATAAAGCTTTAGGGTTGTTTGCTCTTGTCATAGCAAATTATTTCTTTTTCAGAATATTCCTGAGCTTATTCTTCTGGGATTTACAGCCTGTTATTGCAAATGTGGAAAGAGCTTGTCTACTAAAAGCACAGGCCAAGGCGTGCTCAGGAAAATACTACAAGTATTGTATTGCGTTCTGTTTATGCTCACATCTTTATCAAGCAAACATGTAAATATATATCTGCTTGCATCTTCTAAGAGAGTAATTCATGATGTGAGTAGGCAAATACCATAGGTGGTCTATTTTGGAGTTTTTAATACACACAGGACCACATACCAGGTGCTTTCTCAGTCATTACTCAGGAAAAACTCACAGCTTTAACATTATATTGCTTATATAAATGCAAAACCATAGTACACTGTACAGGGGTTTGGCTTTTGTTTTTTTCAGCTCATGAGTTATAATCCTTTCATCATCATGAGACAGTACAAAAAATTTACAACTGAAGCACTTTATAAGTAAATTCTATTAGAAACTTTGACGTGTGTCTTCAAGTCCATTGTAAAAGACTTAACCTCTTCCTTTTCAAATGAAAAACAGGATTCTATTTCCACCTCAGAATTTATTAAACACTCGTCCCACCTCCATTCTTTCACATTTGTCACTTCTTCCCCAGTTATCTACAGAATTGCAGAACTTTTCTGCACTTCTAATAACTCAGATAGCCATTTCAAACTCAAGGAATCTAAAAGTTGTGCTTGGACAACAGTTGTCACTAATAAAACTGAGTCACCACGTTCAGAGAAGGAATTTGGGCTTGTCCAATAAAACCAAATAAAAACATGCCCAGTGTTTTGGGTTATTAAAATAGGATCCATAAAGTATTTAAAGGGTATTAAGAAGTTCAGCTTTTACTTATCCCCTTGATAATACCTGGAGATCTTATTAATACACAGGATTTTTTAATTTATTTTTTAAAAAGAACTAGAATGCTTTCTTCTTTTCTGTCATAATAACATACACAAAAGCAGTATCCCCCAAAGCAGACTTGCACTCAGACATGAGATGGAAAACTTATGTTTATAAAAGCCATCTCTATTTGCTTAAAGCAGAGAGATGCACTGAGAGAGTAGTACAGTATGACAACATTTTAAACACAGAGGAGACAAAATTTATCTGGCCAGTATACAATACAAACCAAAAATTGAACACCAATGTTACAGTATTATATTTAAACAAACCACAGTAATTTGATGCTTTGAAGTCAAGCCTATATTTTCTTCAGCTTTTTCATGAATTATTGATCCACTTTCCTTATTAAATGGAATGGCAGGCTCTTGCAGTAAATGGACAAGTGACTACAACATTTATATAATCACATATCCTCTGCATCTGGCAGTAAAAAGTGTTTGTGTTTAAAACATCCTTTCCGAATAGACACCCCTGCAAAAAAGATTTACTAGAATAACCACATTCCTTTTCTTTTGTCTCTCTCTAAAACACAGCTTCCCTTGCATCATCATGCAATCCAGCATTTTACACATCGTATTAAGCAAAATATTTTCCAAGTGCCTGTATCATCCATTGTGCAACAGAACATTTCTTCTCTCTAATGAGATGTAAATAAACTGTCTCACTTACCTTATTTTCTCCATCTCTGCCGCAGAGGCCTACAAGAAATCAAATAATAAGAGCAAGTGAATGAAAGAAAACATTCACTCTGCAGATTTATGCATAGTTAAGGCTTTCCAAAGGGTTTTCGACAAGTGTCTATAAAACGAAGATAAGTGAACCCCACATCTGCATTAGCTGAAAATAACATTGACAGATGAAGTGGGGAATAATGCAGCACGCTGCAGGAACACTGTATACCCACGAGCCATGGGCAACAGAATGACTCAGTTGTAGCGCTGAGGCAGAAAATGGGGAGGGAAAAAAGCAAGCAAGCAGCAGCAAGTAACAGGTTACTGTGCCTCCCGGGTTTCCGAGGAAAAGTTGAAATGCTGTGCTACCCTCTGCACGGTGGGCATGGCAGCAATGCTCTGCTGGGTGGAAAACGACAGTGACTTCATCACACGTGAATCCCGAGTTCAATTCATTATTTCTCGCGGAGCCTGGCAGATGGAAGGGGCACAATCTTGCCTCCTTATTGGGAGTTTGAGTAATCAAATTAGTTTCCTTAAGTAATGCACTCTCTTGACAATTAGCATCTCAATACAGAGAGGCTTTTCGTTAACCCTTTCAGTACTCCTCCACGCTGTAGCTTGCTGCTCGTAACTCTTTGGGCTCCTCTGCCCTGCTGCAGACAGGCTCCCGCTAATCCGCTGGCAGCAGCTCGGAGCTCCTGTAACACTGAATCCTTACACACCCAATCATTTCACTAACCTGCCTGAATTCTTTTTACTGAAGAGATGCTGTAAATCCCTACTTATGTACAGCATAGACACTCATTAATCTCTCTGCCATTACTTATATCAAAAACATAGTCTTGTTAACCCTTTGTTTTCTTTTTCATTGTTATTTTGTGCAGATTGTTAACATCTGCTTCCATTTCATTTTATCGCATCACTGGCACAGAATCCCTTAAGTCCTGCTGGCCCTGCTTTATTGTAACTAAGGAATGAGCACTCAGAGCAGTCTTGCAATCTCTAGAGCCAGATAAATCCCAGCATCACAGAATCTCTTATTTATACTGAAGGTATTCCAATTAACCACAAACACTTTAACCTTACAGATTAATGGCTAACAGTCATGTTTGAGCATAAAAATAAAATAAGATTAAAAATAGGGAAATGAAATTTAATCAGTTAAACAGCAGGAAAATTGTCAAACTGCCTAATAAATCATCCCAAATGACAAATTGTTGGTTCTTCATTGGGTCACTCATTTTCCCTTCTTCTCATTAACTTTTGATTTGCCTATTGGATGGGGGTTTTTTCAGGATGATTTCTGATGATATACACTAAGGATTTTAGGCATTCACCATAACTTGATACACTAGAGGCCAGGTGCAGGAAAAACCCTCCTCAACTTCCTGGTAACAGATGTTATACAAGTCTACATGGTCCCTGCATGTCTGTTGGAAGCACAAGGCTGTCCATGATAGATTCCAGATTTTGAGATTAAAAATCTAACCTAGGGACACATAGCTGCTTCCTCTGATTTGTAGGTATTCATGTGCATTCCACAGTATGAAGGAAATAGATTAAACATTGCTGACCAGAAAATGAACCACAGGGGCTTTCTCCCTTGGTAATGGAAAGCTACTAGCAGTCTCATGGACTTGCCAATTTGGCTTTCCAGAGGTGAATTCTCAAAAACTGCCTTAATCATCATGTTCATGTCATTCTGGGGAGACTGGACATAGTTTTCTCCAGGGAGTATTGCTTCGTTTTAAGCTATGAGAGTCACTCATGAAGATAGAGTAATTAGAATATCTGATTTCATTCCTTCTATTATGACAATATCCACAGACATAAGGGAAAGCTACTTGTCCTTCCTTTTGCTCAGTGCTTTGAGATTTGCTGTACTTATGGAGTTGGGTTGGGGGTTGTTTTGTGTGATTAAAGCACAGGATGGAGAAGAGGAGCTGTAGGCTGGCTATCTGGCTGTACTCATCTGTGAATGCAGGTGAGTCATTGGCTGCCAATCCCGACAGGAAATTAGTGGGGAAAAAAGACTCAGCAAATGCCTCACACCAAAACAAACTAGAAAACTAAAGCAATCTGCAATTACTTCCCTATGAACTATTCCCTCCCGCACCCCCCCCCCCTTTTTTTTTTCTCCTGTAATATAAAGGCTTCTTTTTTTACCTCCTCACAGTAAAAGCTGCTTATTTTGTGTAACATGGCCAATTCTCCTTTGCACCTTTAAAAATGTTCTCCTCTGTCTATCCCTCACAGCTTGTGCAGCAAAAAGAGCGCTCCTCTCTGATGTGGGAGCAATGGGTTCAGCTCAGTCCTCCTTGAAGAGGCTGCTCTGACCCTGGTCAGAGCCCTTTCTGGGCTGCAGTGCTCGATTACTTCTTTTGATGGGGATCCACTCCTAGTAAATATATAGGAGCACACAGAATGAATAGAGTCTGTGTTCCTTGGGGAATGTCCTAGCTTTTAGTCTAGAGAGTCTAATGAGCATATAGGAACTTGAGACGGTGAAACCAAAGACATTTAGCTGTAGACATTTAGCTTTCATCCAGAGCAGTTTGTTCTTTTTCAGATAATTATGTTCTTTAGGAATATCCTTTTTTCATCCATTTCTTTTTCCTCTTTCCTTTTTCTTCTTCTTCTTCCTCTTCTTCCTTGTTTACTTTTTCTCCATTTCTGTTTTCCTCAAAAACCTTAACAATTAAAAATTATTTTAAAAGTGTGAGTTTCTGAAGCAGCTCTGTTCCAGTAAGGTGATATTTTCACCAAGACAAAATTGCTATTTCTTAGTCAGGCCACTACCACTGATGTAGAAGTTCAGAGTTACATCATTCTTCCACTGTTCTCTATGAGGGTTCCTATCTTCATGCCTTCATAATATCCTACTGAATTGATTTTAAAATTTATTCTAAACAGCTCTGAATTGGCCACTTTTAAGACAACCTTGTCCTGAAAGTGCTGTCCGACCTATTTGAAGAGGAAAGACTGAAGTAAAGGTTGGCATAAGAATGTCCTTTACAGTTTGTCATTCATTCATAAGTTGCTGTTTGCTAGTGGGTTGATTCATTTCAAGTGCTTCTTGATGCCTGAATGGAGGAATGTAATTGAAGCGGCAAGATTTTTTTTTAATAAATTCCTTTTATTAAGATCAGTATCAGTAATTACCTTTAATTACAGAAATATCAGATGTTATTTAAATACCTGGTTTTAAAACAATATCAGTGCATTGTGACTTAAGAATTTATTTAATCAGCCTAAAAATAGTATTTTTTTTCTTTTAAAAAACCTTTAGTCTCAGTAATTCAATACCCCATATTTCCATATACAGTCTCCTACTTAAAATACTAAGACTAGTCTGAAGATTTTCCTTTTTACATAAGTACTTGGTGTGGCAACTTTGCTTAGAAGCACTTTCAGGAAATGTCTAAGAGTACTGGTAGAAACTTGACTTGTTTCTGAGCATTTGAAGAAAAAAAGTATAAAACACAGAACAACTGTCAAGACTCTTTTTCTGGAAGCCCTGAGCATTTAAAAGTCTGTTTTGGAGCAGGTATTCAAAAAGCAGATCAGTTGTCCTTTTATTTTTTTTTTTCTACCCCCTTCCTTCTCTCAGCTATTTTAGATTGCAGGTTGTCATGGTTTAAGCTGAACCTAGGACACAGGTTGATATTCTTTGAGAACAAAGTCATTCATTGGCTTGAATGAAAGCAGGGATGCTGTTAATGGAACCCCCAAGACATTTTACTGTGGCTTTTTTCCCTTTAGAATATGGTTACACTTTTTCAGACAACATGACAGCCTTGAGTTGTTTTTAAGTAAGCAGAGCAAATGAAAAATACTGTGAACCCCTAATTTTTTTATCTTTCTGTGTTTGATTAATGAATCAAACAACTTCAAGACAATGGCAAAATAGTAACACAAAAGAGTTCATATGGTAATCTAGTTCTTTAATATTTTTTTATGTTATTGGTGTCTATAATGTTGATTATTGAATCAATACCATTTAAATAAAATAGTCATGTTGATGGTCTGTATATCATTCTATTCAATTCACATGGTGACAACACCGGTAAAATACTGTGTTTATGTTTTATAACCTTTATTGTATCATTACTTTCTGAAGAACAAGCAACCATGAGATTGTAGATCTTTTAGATGTCTAATGAAGTTTCCTTCTCACTTAGATAATGAGCTTAATTTTCATCCTTCTGCATCTTCCAAATGTATGTGTGAAAAAGAAGGAATATCCTGGAAGATTTGGTTGGGTTTTTTTTCTTATTATTTTTGTTTTCTTGGTAATAGACATTTCATTTTAGAGGGAGGGACAGGACTCAGAGCCTGGCTCAGTGCTCATCTGTCTTGCCAATATGTTCAGTGGATTTGCACTGGTATGTTGGCTAGTTGCTACCAAATGTACGAGAAAAAAAGTGTAGAAGAAAGTTACTGTTGTTTAGTGTTGTGGGAGCTGCTTTTATTTCTGTGATGAGGAAAGCTGCAAATCTGAGTTCATTCACAACTAAAGTGCTCTGGACTTCTGGGGTATTTGTTAACTACCACATATGTTCAGTCACAACTATTTCTCTTCAACATTTCTTTTGTGATTGCAGTTCTACGAAAGTGTTCTGATAGGAACCACCGTGTCCATTTTCCTTTTTTTACTATAGGATTCAAGAGTAAAATATCAGATTTAATAAAATATACAGACTGTGTAGTTTGATAGAATCAATCTTTAATTAGACTCAATCAAATTTTAGACATTTTTTATTTAGGCTTTAAAGTACCACTCAAGTGATGCCTGAAGAAAGACTAAAATTTAATCAATATATACTTCAATAGAACTAGAGGAACCATTCAGCTGCATTTGATTTGTCTTCATGTATTGAATGTATCTAATTGATGTTTTTGAAGGAAGACTCTGTAAATCTCTTCCCTTAAATTATCATAGAGATACAAACAAAATTGAGTCCAGTTCTCCACAGTTGTATTTGTAATAGATATTTTATTCAGAAAGCATCTCCTCCAATCAT